CCGATTTTTGTGCCAATTTCCACGCCGATTCTGCGCAGATAGAGAAAATTATGTTCAAAATCTGCCTAAACAATAGCGACAAATTTAGCTGCAAAAATAGTGCCGGCATGTACGGGCCTTTTCGACATCTGCTGTGGCCAATGCCAACATGCAAATAAAGGTGAGAGTTGCTCGGATGTCACCGAAGTTATGGATCAAGGAACCAGCTGCAACATTACATCTTTCCATACCTCTGTCTCAGAATAGCCGTTCAGATTCCCAGCCACATCCCGATTTGCATCGCACGCGGGGCGGCTTCCAGAACGCAATCAACGCAGCCCTCACAGATTTCCCCGAAACAAAAAAATCTGCACTGCAACGCGGAAGCCCTTACATCCCCCTTCGCACTCCTGGGGTGACTCGACGCCTGCTCTACACCCTCATCATCTGCATCGGGTGAGGCTCTCGCCCGCCGGGCACTGGACGGGCTAGCGGGTATACCGCTGCTTGCACCGTATAAGTCAAAATGTCAGTTTGGAGGCCCAAGCGCTCCAGGAGCACTCTGCGTGCTTCGTCTAGTTTGGAGGATCCTAACGACCAGTAGACCACGAGAGACCAGGAGAGCACCAAGAGATCACCAGGAGACCACCGGGACACCATCCCAAGATCGTCAGATTGCCAGCCACGACGAGGACACCAGGAGACCACCAACCGGCCACCAAGAGATCACCAAGAGACACCACGAGACCACGAGAAGACCAGCAGAGACCAAAAGACCACGACTACGCATTGCTCCAAGTAAATGGTGCATCGAGCACCACGCTCCAAATGCCTTCCCTGAAGTACTGGCGGGATTCAGCAACATTGCTACGCACGGTGGGAGTGCTCTGGCGACTCGAGAAGCAGTGCGAACACGTATTCCCCCAAGCATTGGCGCGTTTCGGGAGCAGCCGACTTATGCTTACCTCCCTTAGCTTGCGAGATTCAAGGGAACACTCCAACTCCCTTCCCACAAGGTTTTCGAGAGCAGAAAGTAGGCTAAGTAGTCCATATCGTATTAGTTGCAATGAATTCTGGTCTTGGGTGCGTGCGGCATGCGAATCCTGTGTCAACTATGGCAAACTACGCAGCACCGCAGCGGCGGGAGACGCCCGCCGCGAGCATCCTATATAGGAAAGAATAGGACGCGCGGCATTTGCTGTCATAAATACATGCGCGGGAGCCTCTTTTCGAGGCGCGCCGCGCGGCCATGTCAACCAATTTATTCTCTTTACCTTCAACGCAAGATCCGCGCAGTGTGAGCAAGCATTGTTTGTCGAATCGGTGACGGTCAAACAAGGTCCAGAAAGCACAAGCGCGCGCCTGCACGAGGCTGATAATGAACCACTTGGCACAGAAGTCCTCGCGCTCAACAGTGCTGAAAGGTGCAGTAGACATTTGGATTTCTGCTGAAAAGCGTTGCAGATGCCGAACTCCTTGCACGGAAGGTACGTCAGCGACACCACTGCCGAGACTAAGACTTTGATCGTCCAGGCCTGCACGGCAAAAGGATCTAGAGGCCTAGAGGCTACAGAGAGCGGTGAAAGGCCGAACCGACCCTTCCGGAAGTTACTAGACCCCTTTGAACGCTCCGGTTAGGGCGAAGGCAAAGAAGTCGCGACCAAAAGCCGTTACACCCTTGAACGCGCAGCATAATGGGAAGCAATCGACCGGCCGAAAATCATCAAACTTGTTGCTTCCCCCTCTGAACGCTAGCAATCCAAGGTCGTTAAATACTCACGTTTGGTCAGGTCCCGTGTCT